GTAACTCTCCAGAAGAGGGAGGGGCAGTGCACAGGGTCGGGTGGGCAAGAGAAAGGAAAGGAGAGAGAGAAAAGAAACAGACAAAAAGAAGGGAAAAAAAGAACAAAGCAAATAAACCAAAAAAAATCACAGCCTATCAAGAAGAGGAGGGGATGGCACGCAGGGCTAGCTAAGTGGGAGAAGGGAAAGGGATGAAGGGAGAGAGAGAAAAGCAACAAAAAAAGCCCCCAAAACAAACAAACAAATAAACAAAAAAAGATCAAAGCAAACCAACCAAAAAAAATCACAGCCCATCAAGAAGGGGAGGGGATGGCATACAGGGCTAGCTGGGTGGGAAGAAGGAAGGGAGAGAGAAACAATTAAAAAAGCCAAAATACAATAAAATAAAAATACAAACCAAAAAAACAAACAAATGAACAAGAAAATGGCACTGAAGGGGCTGGCCAGTGAGGGTGGGGTGGACCCTGGCAGCAGTGAGCTAGTGTCTCTCCAGCAAGCAACCGTGGCCCATTGGAAAGCGGCAGAGGCCTCAAAGAGGGAAGAAGCTTGGGGGTGGGAAAGCATGTATCCCTGGTTACAGGGTGCTCTGTCTCCTGTTGGGAGCTCCGTGGGGTTGCCATCTATACTCCCTGCCTGCATTCTTTGGTGGCTGTAGTCCAAGATGATGAATCCGGCCATGTTAGCTGGGAGGGGACCTCTACTCCGTAACTCTCGTTCTCTGTTCTCTGTCAGTTTCTATTCCATGCAGTGCTTGATCAAGTTCTTTATTCTTTCATTTGGTACTTAGGGTTTCAGGATTGACATTTGAATCTGTTTTACTTAGTTTTTCAGGTCTTTGCTGCAGAGGGAAGGCATGGGGCTTCTGTCTATAGTGCCATGTTGGTGCCATCTCCCCAAGAGATGAATCTTGATCAAAAGGAGAAAAACTGTGGAACAGAACTTCAGATTCTTATTGGAAACCAGACTTACTGAATACATTGAGACAGGAGGCATCTCTGAATCTATTGCCTGGAATAACTTTTAAACTGTGAACAAAAACTATCCCATCAAGTCATCTCTAAATTAAACAATAATTTAGCTCAATAAATAATGTTTGCTTGGAGCACTATGCCCTTTTTAAAGAATTTCCTGTTTAAAATTTTAAAAAATTAAAAAAAAAAACCTGATACCGTCAAGCTGATTCCGACTTACAGTGACCCTATAGGACAGAGCAGAACTGTCCCATACGGTTTCCAAGGAGTGGCTGGTGGATCCAAACTGCTGACCTTTTGGTTAGCAACCAAGCTCTTAACTGCTGTGCCACCCAGGCTCCGTAAAGAATTACCTACATGAGTAGAGTCTGGGGTCTTAAAAGCCTGTGAGCAGCTGTCTAAAATACTCCACTGGTCTCACTCCTTAGGGAGCAAGGGAGAATGAAGAGAACAAGATACAAGGAAAAGATTGGTCCAAAGGACTAATGGACCACAGCTACCAAGGCTTCCACCAGACTGAGTCCAGTACAGCTAGATGGTGCCCGGCTACCACCACTGACTGCTCTGACCAGGATCACAACAGAGGGTTCTGGACAGAGCTGGAGAAGGATGTAGAACAAAATTCTAACAACCAAAAAAAGACCAGATTTACTGGCCTGAAAGAGACTGGAGAAACCCAGAGAGTATGCCCCCAGACACCCTTTTAGCTCAGTGGTGAAGTCACTTCCGAGGTTCACCGTTCAGCTGGGGATTGGACAGCCCCATAAAACAAGACAGGACTAATGAGGCTACAGCAGTCCAGGAACAAGGACTAGAAAGCAGAAGAGGACAGGAAAGCTGGTGATAGGGAACCCAAGGTTGAGTAAGGACAGTGTTGACATGTAGAGGGGTTGTTAACCATTGTCATAGGGCAACATATGTACTAACTGTTTAATGAGAAACTATTTTGTTATGTAAACCTCATCTAAAGTGAGAATAGCAGCACAACTGGAAGAAAGTAATCGTTGTCACCAAATTGTGCATGTAGAAATTTTTGAAAGGGTGTATCTTAGGCTATGTATACTTTCACCACCAAACAAAAAAAAAAGGTTGAGAAGGGAGAAAGTTGACATGTCTTGGGGTTGTTAACCAGTGTCACAAAACAGTATGTGTACTGACTGTTGAATGAGAAACTATTTGTTCTATAAACCTTCACTTAAAGTACAATAAAAAAATGGAAAAAAAAAAAAAAGAATTACCTACAGGAGATCAAAATGACAACAGTAACTCTAAAGCACAGATGAGAGCTTTAAGGGGTAGAGAGTCTAAGTTTAACGCTGGTGAAACAGTATGGGCAGAGACAGTGACAATGGTAACACAATGTGAAGTATGTAACCATGGTCAATGAACTGTACATGTAAACGTTGTTGAATGGGTGTATCTTTTGTTGTGTATATTTTCACCACCCTCCCCCCAATATTAATGGTTTATGAAACCAAAGTGGTAAAGATGATCCATGAGATCAATAGAAATTATTTGGAAATTAAGAAGGAAATTGTGCCCAAAAAATTTCAGGTTCTACCAGAAGATAATTCGTTAAGAGGAATAGGTAAATTTTGAATAGTATAAATAGGCACTTAGATTATTTGATAATTAATATAAAACATTAATAGTAATATAATTAGAGGAAGAAAATCACCTGAACACATTGGCTAAATATTAAATTTCTTGTTGATTTGACATAAAATATTGGCACTGATGAAGACTGCGTAAAACCCATAATAAACCAAAACCTTTGCCAGCTAGTCAATTCCGACTTTTAGCAACCCTACAGGACGAAGTAGAACTGTCCCACAGGGTTTCCAAGGAGCGTCTGGTGGATTGGAACTGCCAACCTTTTGGTTAGCAGCTGAGCTATTAACCACCGCACCATCAGGGCTCCAAAATTCGTAACAGTACACTAAAATGAGGTCCTATGACAAACTGGTTAAGGAGTGCCATCAACTCAAAAAAAATTTAAGATTAGTTACTGAACAATGCCCGGAAATCCTACAACTCATATAAGAAAGAAATGTAATATAGATCCTCCCAAATTTGACAACAATCATACAAACTGACATGATTTTACCAATAGCGAGCTGTAAAAATCATAAAAAGTAACATGATTTTACCAACAGCAAAGTGTAAAATAAAGAAAACTTCCTACTATATCAATAATAATAATAAAACCATGGATCAATCCATGCCGGAGAAAAGACTGAATTATCTTTCCAGTCTCTCTACAGAAAATAATATAAAATCGTTGTCATATGAAAAGGCAATCCAAGAATGTGCAGCCAAGGAACCTAGGGGCAAAAAAATCTATTTTAGAGTTGTTTCAGGTAGTTAATTCATAGGAATATGATGTCATTTTTCTAGCTACTGTGATGTTTATGGTATTTGCCAGGGTTTTTTAAAGTTTATAATTTGTTGTGATTTATTTTATTATCCTAGATAAATCTTTACTTTCGTTACTAATTTTGTACTATTTTTTCTTAAATAGAGCTTCCAAAATTGTAGAAGCATCGGGCTTCACAAAACCAGTTTTCACCCCTGATAAGTAGGGCGGCGACCTTTCCTTTCTAGGCAAAACTTGGCTCAAATTCGCAGCCACATCCGGTGGGGCGGGGGTGCGGCACTCTACTCTCATTTCCCATCCTCACCCAAACTCTGCCCACTCCTCCCTTCTCCGTGCTTTTCCACCTTTTCCCTTGTGCCCTTCCTTTCCGTCCTCTGGTCCCGGCCTGCTGTGCCCCTTCTTGATTCCCCAGCTCTCATTTCACACTCCTCCTTTGCTTTGTCCCATTTTCACCCGGTTCTCATTGCCCAGCAAGCCAAGGAGTGAGAACAATGACTAAGAAGCAAAAGACGCCTGAGGAAGAGGGCAGGTCCTGAGCCTCTGCCCAAGCCCTAGCCCCACCTCCGGCTGCCTGACGCTTCCTACCAAGTCTCCCCTTCAGGCGAAGTCTGGGAATAAACCCTGCATTGCTCGCCCAGAACCGGGAGCCCAGAGCCAGGAGAGGTGCTGGGAGCCAAGGAGCCGGGAGCGCAGCCCAGCAACCCTGGCCTGGACTCGGCCCCGGCACCTCCGCCCTCCCCAGCCCCTCCCTCCACTTGGCCTTGGCGCCTTCCTGGGTGCCTGGTCAGTCAGGCGCCAACCCTCACCCCGCCGAACCCCTGCGATGCTCGCCACAATGGCTGGGGCTCAAAGCAGAGAAATTTTGACTCTGTGATGAATAAGCACATTTAAGTGGGAGGAGCTTGGGATACATGGCCCAGAGGAGTCGTTTGGTTAAAATGAAAAAGTCTGGCCTCTCACTTGAGCTTATCTCCCGTCTTAAGCAGAGTGAGAAGGGAAACTGGCTCGCTGGAGCTCCCCCCCCCGACCCCCCAATGCATTTAGGAATCTCCACTTCCCAGCACAGTGATCAGTGTGCTGAGGATGGCTGCGGGTGTGAAGAAGTGAGTAGGGGGTGGGATAGAGAAAGCAGGGCCAAGTTTAGAATTTGATGGGGTCTCCACATTCCTGCGGAGGAGTTTGTGGTAACGTGCGTGTAGGGCTTTGTCAGCAGTGGGCTATTTCTCTCATGTTTTCCTAACTCCTTTTCCACGCCCATCCTAAGAGTTCTCCCGGGGGAAGGGACCTGCTGGCATTGCCTCACGTGGCTTGCCTCCTGAAGGGAATTCTGGAATGCCGCCTTGTGTCTCAATAAAGCACCGCGTCCTTTGGGCTTAGTCCATTGTCTGTATTTTCATGCAGGACAGCCTGCAGGAAGGTCTCCCTTGATTTGTGTTCCCAGGGATGGCACAACGAAGACGGAAAACGGTGACTGATTTTGGAGCCAGACTAGTAGGGTTTGCCCCCCCCCCCCCCGACTCAGCTACTTATAGTTTCGGGATTTGGGGCAACTTGCAGCTGGGCCTCGTTTCCTCATCTGGACATGAGGTAATAGCCCTAAAGACAGGCGTTGTGAAGATAAGACCAGGCTCGAAAATCAGTTTGCACAGTACCTGTCTGTTTCCTTCCCTTTTCCTTCTCCCAGAGGAGAGAGGGATACGGGGTTGGGTCTTTGTTCGCAGTGTAGTATAAACAAGTTCAGGAATCGGATCATAAATCCTTTAAACTGCTCATATGCGTGAGAGGCTATCTCAGGATCCCCCAGCTTCCTGGAATACTTCAACTCTCCAAACTGCCTTAAATTCTTGCTAAAACAAAATAGGGTTTCAAACATAAATAAATACTTCAATGCATGAATTATTTTACTCAAACTATTTGTTGCTTTCCCTCTTTCTCTTTCCCATTTGTGAAGGCTGTCAGGCTTCCTGCTACAGCCTGAGAGAGAATTCAAACCAACCCAGCGTGGGGGTTTGTGGGGGGAGGGAGATGAGAGCCCCAGAGAAAGAGTAGAGGTGCAGTGGAACTATGAGGGGAGGGGTAGTAGGGCATGAACAGGGAGAGCCTAGGGTGGGAGTAGATGTGGGGACTACTGGGAGGTGTGGTTGGAGTCTCTGCGTCCAGAGAGGGGAGGGAGGGAAGAAGGAGTGGGCACGGTGCAGAGGACGCTGGGTAGAAGGGCACAGTGATATTGGTGAGCCCACCCCCAGGGAGATCAGGAATGAACGAGGAGCTGAAAGGCCAGGGTAATGACGGAGAAGAACCTCATGCTGGTCACCATCTCCCCCTCCCCCTACATTCCTACTGGGCAAAAATCACCCAGGCCACAGAGAAAGACATTAACGGATCTGCAGCCTCCCAGCCTTCTTCAAAGCCACATCTCCAGTCTCCTGCCCCAGGTCTTCCGGCCAGTGGTTGCCTGGACACACCTCCACAGACCTGGCACCAGCCTCCCCTCCTACGTGACCAGCACGGGCCCTGAACTGGGTGGCGATGCTGAGATAAGGCCAAGGAGGGGAAAACTGCCAAAGGCAGGAAGTTACACAGCATAGTTCCCCTGGCAACCCAGCCACAGTCCCCAAACAGTGCAGGGTGGAGGGCAGGGACAGCTCCTCTTCCTCCGCAGACACTCACTTTCCCAGAGAAGGCCTGGGGCCAGGGACTTCCCAGGCCTCAATTTTCTTGTTGAAGAAGCTTTTCTTCATGAACCTAAGGCTGTGCTGAGTAACAAATATGGGTACAGCTTGTTTAATATGCAAATTTAAGAGACCACCCCTACACCACCACCATAGACTGTCAGTCTAGATGTAATTGGTCTAACTGGAATCTGCATTTCTAACAAGCCCATTGCCCCATTGCCACTGAGTCACTTCTGACTTATAGCCACCTTATAGGAGAGTAGAACTGCCCCACAGGGTTTCCAAGGAGTGCCTGGTGCATTCGAACTGCCGACCTTTTGGTTAGCAGCCAAGCTCTTAACTACTACACCACCAGGGCTATCTTTCTAACAAGCATCCCAGATGATTCCAATGCTAGCAGTCTGAGGACTTCATTTAGAGAATAGAATAAGTTCCAAGAACTTGGGACTCCTTATGACAGAGTTGGGGGGAGATGCAAGATGAGGCCTGGGGCATCCCAGACTATCCTGTGTCCACTGGAGTCTATAGCCAACCCCATCTCCAGAGGTCGTTGAGTGTGAGTGACCAGGAGTCAAGAAAACTGGATTCTAGTACATGCAGAACCAACTCAAAATCATGAACCCTGACTGTGTTCCTGTGCCAGGCACTGTCTGTTCTGAGACCCATGGGCCACACAAAAATAAATAAGGCGTGTTGTCTACTCTCAAGAACTCTGCGACCTTGGACAATTTGCTTAAAGTCTCCAGGCCTCTGTTTTATCTTCTCTCCAAAGGGTGCAATAATAATAAAGCCTTAACAAGAAGTGGCAAGTCTCCTGGAATTAATAATCAAACATGCAAGTACCTGGAAAGTGCAACTCTCAGGTTTTGTCCTTGGGGTTGTGGTAGCTTTGATTGCTCACGCTAGAAGCTGAGCTCTCTGAGAGGCTTCCAAAAGGTCAGGGAGCATTGAAGACAGAAACTCCATGGAACAGGAGCCATGGGTTCCTTTCTGCAGCTGCCAGAGCTCTGTTTGCCTTGGAGGGGTGTCTTTGAGCTGAACTTCCTGCACCTCTTCACCTATTCCGACCTCTCACTTCCTCCTCTGCAGTCCTGGCCTCCGCCCACCTGCAGAAAAACCTCAGCTCGCTCTGGCTGCTTGGTTGAACCCTTCCTCACAAAGGAGCTGTATGACAGGGCAAGCAATTAATTAGCTTGGATTTCTGTAGTCAGGGAGGAAAGGCCTGGCAATCTACTTCTGAAAAACCAGCGTTTGAAAACCATATGGAGCACAGTTCAACTCTGATACACATGGGGTTGCCATGAGTTGCCATAAACTCGACAGCAACTGGTTGGGTTTGATTTTGGTTCTGTTGTCATAAATTTAAATCCCAGTTCTGCCACTAGCTGGGACGTTCAGCAATTTATTTTGCTCTCTTAGCCTCAGTGTTCTCATCTGCAAAATGGGATAGAATAAAATTTCATGGTGGTTTCAAGCTCCTTCTCCTGGATTCCCTGCCTCAGTGACAGACATCACCATTTGCTTAGTTGCCGAAGCTTGTCATTCTTGAGCCCTCTCTCTCTGCCCTGCAGCCTCCAGAAATTTCTAAAACATAACTCTCATCTCTTCATTCCTCTGCTTAAAATCCTTCACTGGCTCCCCATGCCTCAATGAAATGTCCGAAATTGTTTACTGGACTTTGAAGCCTGTTTGTGATCTGGCCTCGATTTCCCTTTTCAGTCGCATTTCTCAGCACCCTACCCCTCTTTCCTCTAAGCACACACATTCTACAGCCCAGTCATTCTGCATATTCTCCCCTCTGGTCAATGCTCCTGCTCACCCTGGCCTAGGACCCTCTCCTCCTCACCTCCACTACCCGCCATGCTTCCAATTATCCTTAAGCCCTCAGATCAGACATCACCATCCTCCAGATGCCTTCATTGATGTTTCTCCCCACAGGATAGGGTAGGTGCCCTTCCTGCGGGTTCTCATAGCACCTGGACTTTCCCTATCCTGCCACATACCACAGGAGTCCCTGGGTGGTGCAAATGGTTAAAGCACTCGGCTGCTAACTGTAAGGTTGGAGGTTCAAGTCTCCCCAGAGACACCTCAGAAGAAAAGCCTGGCAATCTACTTCCAAAAAATAAGCCATTGAAAACCCTGCAGACCCTGAAACTATTGCCCTGAGATAATCTTTAAATCTTAAACCAAAAATATTCCCTAAATCCTGGACAGAGTGGCAGAAAAATGTAGAACAACATTCAAATTCACACAAAAAAGAAAAGACCAAACTTGCTGGTCTGACAGACTGGGGAAGCCCCAAGAGTATGGCCCCTGGACACCCTTTTCTCTCAGTACTGAAGTCACTCCTGAGGTTCACACTTCAGTCTATAGGATAAACAATAACACACATGGGGAACGTGCTTCATAGTTCAATCATGTATAGGAGAATAAATGGGCTCACCAGCCCAAAAGCAACGACAAGAAAGCAGGAAGGGACAGGATAACTGGACAAATGGAGGACCCAAGGTCGAGAAGAGGAGAGTGGGGTTGGCAACCAATGTCACAAAACAATTTGTTTATTAATTGTTCAATGAGAAACTAATTTGCTCTGTAAACTTTCACCTAAAGCAAAGCACAACAACAAAAATATATCCCCTAAAGTCTTCTTAAAACAAAACAATAGTTTAACTTACCTAGTAAAGAATGCCTGCCTTGAGCATTGTGCTCTTTTAAGAACTATCTGTATGGGATCTAACTGACAACAGCAACTCAAAAGATCAGATAGAAAACTTAGTGGGCAGTGAGTTTATGTTAATGGGGGAGGAACATTTCAGAAAAGGAGGGTGAGAATGGTTATACAACTAGAAGAATGTAATCAATGTCACTGAATTGTACATGTATAAATAGCTGAACTGGTATATTTTCTGTTGTGTATATTCTTAACAACAACAAAAATAAAATAAGTTTTATATATATATATAAAGAAAATCCTGTGGAGCACAGGCCTACTCTGACACACATGGGGTTACCATGAGTAGAAACTGACTGGATGGCAACTGGGTGTACTGGTTGTTGCCACATATCACATTATAACTGGCTTTTTGCTTGTCTAGCTCCTCCTAGGAGTGCAGGAACTACATTTGCCTTGTTAGCTGCTGTATCCCCCGGCACCAAAACAATGCCTCACCCTGAATATTTTTTGAAATAATAAAAGAACAAATATAAAACATAAGTAAAGCTCCTAGCACAGGACCTAACACAAGAATGGTAGTGGATATCATCATCATCATCATCGTGTTTTAGTAACGTACTGAACGTGCTTCTCTAATGGAGACCAACGCTGGTGTGGAATGGTGTAGGGGCAGCCCCAATGTTCCAGGAGGTGTTTGTAGGACTCCCCTCCTCACCCAGTGATGTTGTACTGCCCCAAGTCCCACCCAATCCCGGGTTCTCACCCCCAGCTCAGGCCTCTTTGCCCACCCTCACCCCAGCAGGAAAGGAATAGCTTCTCATCCCCAACCCCACTGCAACTTGATCTCTGACCACAGAGTCAGTGACTGCTTCTTTTTCCAGAGGAGCTGTCCTAGCCACCACACCACCTCCCCTGGAGCAGGGCAGGGGAGAGGATGCCTAAACTATGTAGCCTGATATCTCCACCGTGACATGACATCACCACTAGTCACCACTCTGGAAGTCATCCAGGCCAGTGGGAAGTTGATGAGCTCTTCAAAAGCATATACCACTGGCTTCCTAAATTACCATGGCTCTTGTCCATGTTTTATCTCCCCTCTAGGACTATGCAGGGCCCCGGAGGCACAGTGGTTAAGAGCTACAGCTGCTAGCTAAGAGGTCCTCAGTTCAAATCCACCAGCCACTCTTTGGAAGCCCTATGGGGCGGTTCTACTCTGTCCTATAGGATTGCTATGAGTCGGGATCCACTCAAGGGCAATGGGTTTGATTTTGTTTTGGGTTATAGGACTATGCACTTTTTGAGCAAGGGGATCATGCCTTAATACTCTTTATACTACCCTCCTCCCATAAGACCTGACATAGACTAGAATCTCAATAATTGTGGAATGCATGAACAAAGGGGTGTGGGCACATGCGTGCCCAGGCTAAACTGCCCGTTTTCCACCTTAAGATTTGTCATATTATTGAAGATGGTCCTCCTGACCCTTAAGGGATTCCACACACTAATAACCTTCATTGTCAAGAGGTTTTTCCTTTTCAAACCTAAATTTCTCTAGATGGAACTTCAGTGCACTTCCTTCTAATCTACCTCGCTGGCCACTGGGACTAAAACCCATTTCTTTGCAAGGAGACAGTTATTAATTTACCCTTTAGCCTTCTTTTCAGCAGATTTAATCCAGACCCTTTATTGTTCTCTCTCTGAGGCCCTATAGTGCAGCCCTTTCCTTGTTCTACCGCTCCTTGGGACTTTTGCCAAACTCTCAAAGGCCTCCCTCAGCTGAAGAGGCAGGAATGGGACATATTGTTCTCTGTGGAGCCACGTACAAACACACAGAGGCTTACACTCCCACCTACGCACACAGGCCATACACCTTTCTGCACCCATAATTCCCAGCCCTTGGTAAACACGTACTCATAGTCAGGCCTCCACACAGGGCCACAGACCTATCCATCTTCTCCCACCCTCCACTCCTCAGAGCCCTGGTGTTGTAAATTCTCACACACCTGTACACACACTCACTCGCAGATGAATAGACCTACACACACCTATGATTTTACCCACAGGTGACCCAGACTGCATGGAGCTTCTGAAACCCTTTTCCTTCTCCTATTCTTCCCCTTCCACCTCCTATCTCCTTTCCTTCCCTAACTCTCCTTTCCATTGGCTACCAAGGACCAAGCTTACTTTCTCTCTACCTCCACAGTGATTTTCCAGTTCAAGGCTGAAGGCAAAGAGTAAGTGAACCAAAGTCGGTTCCTACATTTTTTTCTGCCCTCCTCCCATTCTTTCTTCCCAAATCATTAATTCTCCTTCCATTTGTCTAGAGCACACACACCACTCTCCATCCCTCTGGTTGTAGGCAGCAAAGCTTCTAAGTTTTTTTTTACCTTTTGGAAATGAACAATGGGGAAGCATTGGAAGCTGACCTATGAGCTGGATCCCATTCAGATCCAGTGACAGGCTGGGTTTCTGGGACCCCAGGCTAGCTGGGCACCGGGTTACCAGACCAGGGGGTTCAGGAGCCTGAGGGTGGTTTAATATTCATACATTCACTCATTCAACAAATACTTATCTGGCACTTACAACAGTGTCAGACACTCTTCTGCATGAACAAAACCAACAAGAATCTTGCCCTTGTATAGTGTACATTCTCTGGGTAGAGACAGAAAATATACAATTAAGTACAATATATGGGGTGTCAGGTGGTGATAAAGCAGGGAAGGAGGATAGGGTGGAGTCTAGGTGTGGGGGTACAAATTAAATAGGGTTATCAGGGAAGGACTCGCTTGGAAGATGGTATTTGAATAAAGACTTGGAGCCCTGGTGGCATAGTGGTTAAGAGCTTGGCTGCTAACCAAAAGGTCAGTAGTTGAAATGGAGCATGCCATGGTGGAGATCGGGAAGGAGAGTGTTCCAGGCAGAAAGCACAGTGTTAGAACAGCAGGGTAGAGAGCCACAGAGAACAGGGTGTGAGGAGATGCCACAAGAAGAGCAAGCCAGACACAGAAGCTCTTCCTCTGGGCCCAGGGCCTGAAGAAGTACCAGGAAAGATAAGGGAGGCCAAGGTAGGGATGAAATTGTGGCTTCAAATGGGACAAAATTAAAATAAAAATTTTGAGGTGTCAATGGAAATCAGTTCCAAAGGAAAGGAGCGGAACCTGCAGCGAGAGGGACTAAGCGGAGATATCAAGATTCCTAACAGAGATTCTTGGTGAGGGGTGGTCACAGTCAGAAGGCGGCCAGCCCCACAGCTGAGGCCCCTCTCAAATCCAGTAGGTAACTGGCCTTATGGAATAAGTTATTTCAGGGAGTGAAGGATAGGGCAGCTCCAGCCATCTTTGGGCAGTGGTCAAGGGTTCTGGCACTGCTGGGCATCATCTCTCTTCTCTCTCTCAGCTCAGTGTCCACACACTTCCCATTATCCCCACACTTCCATTTCTTGAGCAGTTACTATATTCTAGGCACTATGCAAAGTGCTTTCTACCTAAGGCCTCATCTAATACTCACAGAAACCCCATGAGGAATTACCTCTAGTTTACAGCTGAGGAATCCCTCTCTTTTGTCCTGCCAGCCCCTCTACAGCTCTATTTTTTGCTGAGCCTGGAAGAGCACAGGTTTAGCCGGGCTCACAGCCTGGTAGATCTGAGCCCGAATCTCTGCTCCTGCACCTACTCCCTGTGTGGCCTTGAGCAAGTTACTTGCCCTTTCTTTCACCGTGTCTTCATCTGGAAACAAAATGGGAAAATAATCAGGTCATAGCCACCTCCTGGGCTACCATGGAAATCTAACAGGAGAACGCAGTGGTTGTCTTGGCACTTGACATACTGTGTCTCAGAAAGTTGTCAGGTGTGTGGCCAATGATTTGCAGCTATTAAAAGTTAATTTAGGGAAGGTTGCAAATGGTTTACTTGTAGTACAAGTATCAGTGGATTCAATGCGTTCTCTGCAATGACATCATTCTCATCCGCATGCCACAAAGCCTCCCTGAATGGACGATAAAGGGTCCTAGTGACGGCCATTCCGATGGGAATGTGCACATAAGCTGCAGCGTATTTTCTCTGTGCCACAGCCCTTGGGAGTGCAGCAAGCGAGCAAATAGCACCTCTCCTGCGGTGTTGGTGGAGAAGGCTGCTGAGAGCCACTGAGCCGATGTGGATGTAAAGCACTGGCATGGGGCTGGCACATAGTAGGTGCTTCTTGGCAGAGGGGAACCATGTTAGGAAGGGGAGCACATGGAGTTAAGGAGAATGAAAACTGGTTATAAACCTCTGCAGAATCCATCACTCTCAGGCACGAGGTAGTGGCTTTCCCCTCCTAAGGAGACAGAAACGCCCTGAAGTAGAAAAAGGGGGAGGGATAATGGTGCCCAGGTCGCTGGGGCTGTGACCCGGTGTGACAGGCTGGTCCAGGGTCCCTCAAGTTCTTGAGAAGGCACAGGGTCCGACTGGAAAGGCGTGGGATAAAGGTGGCACTAAACACTGGCGGTTCGCGTCCACCCAGAGGCACCTCAGAAGAAGGTCTGGCATCGACTTCCAGAAAATCAGTCACTGAAAACCCTATGAAGCACAGTTCTACTCTGACACACATGTGGGTCACCATGAGTTGGAATCAATTCAATGGCAACTGGTTTTTGGTAGGGATTGGAAACTTTGAGTGGAACACTTACGCTTGGGCCAGGGGCTGGGGACAGTTAACCCCCAAATTGATCATCTTGTTCTGAGGCCACCCATTTAAAAGGGAAGCTCAGCTGCTAAGCTCTCCCCATTAGGCAGTCTCACAGGTGCCTGGAAATCAGTCAACAAGGTTTCCTCCCTGCAGCCACCCCCATCAGCCCACTCGTACTCATTCCCTGGCTGGCTTTCCAGGTCCTCTTCACAACGGCAACCTCACCCTGGCCCCCAAGCTGCTCTGGCCAACTCCAACGGAGGTCACCTGGCCCCAAGCCTGCCTGAGGGGCCTCCCATCTGAAGACGGATGTACCTGCCAGGACTCAGGGCTGCGCCCACAGCTAGCCCCACCCTCCCACAGTGACTGAGAAGCTGCCCTGGCTGGGGGAAGGAGCCCAGGCAGGAGCTTCAGGCAGGACTGCCCCACTCAAAATCCACTGGGTAGTTGAGGCCCTCACCTCCTGGGGATGCTGCTAACATACCTTGCATTACGGCCTCCAGCCCAAGGGTAGCTATGCGGTCTCATCTCTACTCAACCCCAACCTACCCTCACCTAACCCCGTGAGAAAGGATGGGGAGAAAACCTAAGAGGGGGTTAGCAGTGCAACATTTCATCGCAAAGCCCTCATCCCCTGTACCATTCGTTGCCCTTTTCCCAGCATTCCTCTCTTCCCCACAGTGAGCACAGTAGTGCCAGACACAGCCAGAGTCCATCCAAAAAAGACTGAGATTCTTTATTTCAAATCAGCAAATTCACATTCCTCAAGGCCCAGACCATGGTGGGCAGCTCTCCCTTCTCTGTCCCCTCACCGCCACCCCTTAGCCACAGCAAGGGGAATGGAAAATGGGAAGCCAAGAGGGCCTCTGCTAGGGAAGGCTGCCCCAGATGTCGGTGAACGCAGTCCAGCTGTGGCTGGAGTGGCAGCCGCCACAGGCCCCTCCCTATAAATTAAATCCCTGCAGCCACAGCTTGTGGAAGGAAGGCCAGGAGGCAGTGCCCTGACCCCTAGCCAAGGAATGGATCGAGGGCACAGGGCCCGGGGGAAGAGAGATCAGAGAGAAAGAGAAGAGGAATTGGGGGGAAACCCCCAAATTTTGGTCCCAGGAGAAAAGAAGAGGCCAGTTGGTCCAGTTTGGGTGGATTTGGGGAAGGTAATGGGAATGTATTAGTACATATGGAGAGAGGCCACCGT